GCTCCACGGCATGTGGGATCTTCCCGGACCAGGGCTCGAACCCGTGTCCCCTGCATTGGCAGGCAGACTCCCAACCACTGTGCCACCAGGGAAGCTTGTTTTTTAAAAGGCAAGAATTTTGTGTGCTATGACAGACAAAATCTCACTAAAATAAAAATTTTTTCTAGGTTTTTCTAAATCTTATGTGACACGTCACATTATGAAGTAAACACATTCAAATGACAACATTACATATGAACAGAATGTCAACTGCCTACCAGGATAATAAGAACATTTAAATATGTCAAAAGGCTCAATTTAAGAAAATTTATTTATTTTCATATCACTTTGAGAAAGATTTCATTTAAACGTTAGAGGAAACTTGAATCTATTCCTGGCATATTATCTATCTAACTCAATTAATAACTAATGCATTTATAACCACTCTAAGAATTGGCTTTCATAGATAAAATATATTTTTTCTTTAAAATAATCAGGAAAAAACATTGGAGGTAAAATCATACGGATGCCTAAACTTGTTCCAAATATTCTATGCTTAGATAGTAACAATGCACACTAGTTTTACCACGAGGATATTGAAAAATAAAAAAAGCTAGGTAAATTAATATATAATATTAAATAAGATAAAATATTTAAAGAAAAAGCAATGGAAAATACAAATAAAAAGTATAGGAATTTTTATGATATCAATGCATGAAACTAATAAAATTCTAAATAAGGAGTTAATAAATCAAAAATGTAGATAACCATAATCCAGCACTTACAAAGTGGAAAAAATATTTGCTTAAAATGTAAGGCAGGGAATTTATAGAAATCTTTGCCAAATATGCATTCTCCAGGAAGCACACAATAATTTTTTGTTTGTTTTTGTTATTATTTTATTTTTAGGTCAATGGAATTTTTCTACGTATCATACCACCAATATGAGGAAAAAATGATTATTGTTGATGTGAAGCTTGGTGAGTTTCTCCAATTTAAATCAATTCTATATCTCATCAGTTTAAGTCATTCTTTCACAGGAAACTCTTTTCTTGCCAAACAGAATTATAGTTATGTGGAATATTTGAGGCTTATTTATATTTTTACCAGTAAATGACCATGTGTGCTCTAATTTGAAAGGTATAATTTCACTGCAAATGTTCTTAATTGGATTTAACTATAAGCAAAATAAATATGAGTTTATCAACAGGAATTTTAATCAAATTCTAGTTGTGAAGAACTATACTTTAAATTTTTTTTAGAATTTACTCCTTTTGGAATCACCAAAAATATTTCTTAAAAGTTTGCAATTGTAGGGCTTCCCTGGTGGCGCAGTGGTTGAGAGTCCGCCTGCCGATGCAGGGGACACGGGTTCGTGCCCCGGTCCGGGAAAGTCCCACATGCCGCGGAGCGGCTGGGCCCGTGAGCCATGGCTGCTGAGCCTGCACGTCCGGAGACTGTGTTCTGCAACGGGAGAGGCCGCAACAGTGAGAGGCCCACGTACCGCAAAAAAAAAATTTTTTTTTTAAAAGTTTACAATTATAAATATGAAAGTGTTTCACTCTGTCACTATATTTTGGTAACTGTAGATGTGGATGCACTACTTAATGATAAATATTGTTGAATGCAGGACTGCAGACATTTCCTTTTAAACCAGTAGCTATTTTGGAAGTTCTCTGTCCTCACACTGTGAATTATATTTTCTTCATTTTGTCAGATGAAATTCCAAAGGCTGCCTTTTCTCTTCTCCTTTTAGAGGTATGAGAATTTTAATTTCTATTACTTTGTCTGCTTTCCATCTTCCAGGATTCGTTTGAAATATTGTGTTTTCTGTCTCCATGTTTAATCTGCCTTCTCCTTCATGTTTAAGCCTTATACATTCCTTTACTATAATTTTAGCAGTGTCAGTTGGAAGAAGTAATAAACTCAGGAGTTCAATCTGTTCTATTACCAGAAACTGGGTTAAATAATTGTGCATTTATCTCTTGGTTTCAACGCTGGAGGCATTATGAGGACATGGGGAGTGTTCTGTGATATTCCAGCAAAGTGGAGGTGCATAGTGATAGTGAATCCAGCAGTAACTGAAAGAGGGTATGCAGGTGTGCAAGGGACATGCAGTCCCAGGAATCTTAGAAGATGAGCAGCAGGCTTCCAGTCACTGGGAGAGCAACCAACAAGCTGCATTTCTCAATGGATTAGAAAACCAGAAAACTTCACAAAACAAGACTATTTTGTGATCTGATTTTTCTATGTAGAAAAATCATCTTGTACCCAATTCTGTCACTAAGTATTAATTTAATTGTTGATGCTTTTATGTCATTATATTCTATTGGCATTCCATAATTTAATAAATCTGTGAATGTTTGACTTAGAATACAACAACATATAAACAACTACTTATACATGATTATCAAAGAGCATTTGTACATAACAGCAGGAAATTTATACTCTAGTAAGAGTAAAGTCAGAAATATAAATAACATTATTTTTATATAGTTGTATATATTTTTGTATATTATATATATTTATATTCCACTCCTTTTCCAACTAATGAGCCACCTGGGCCAGAGAACCTCCCTCTGCATCAGTCATGTAGCTGAGCACAGGGCTGCGACTCATCTATATGGAGCCTTTGCTGGAATTTAAAAAGGGAGCCTTTCCACCACATGGATGAAACCCCACCTGGGGGCCACAGCCTGGAAAGGGAAGTGTGGGTGGATCTCAACCCTTCTCTCCTCCAGACCAGGCATCCGGGTTGGGGGACAGCCTGCATAATTGTACATAAGCGGAAGCTCTGGCTGGGCTGTCCTCTCGCCCCTTCCCCTCTACCCCTCAAGCTTGCCAGGGCTCTTCTGGCCAAACAAATCCTTCCTGGCAGCCCCATCGCTTCAATAGGGTACACATGCCACATGTGTCCGAAGCTCTGCAGCAGACCTAGCTAATTATAAAGCTGGAACCTCAGCTACTAACATAATACGTGAACAACAGAAAACTGGAACACAAGAGCAAACGCAAACGAAGGAAGGAGGATTTGCAGGGTGTGCTGACACACTGAAGAATGAATAAGATTAATTGGAAAAACTTATGAGGTGAACTTTAAAAAGAGGAAGGAATGCAGTCTGACAGAACGTGTGCTTCCTGTACATACATTAGAGCTTAGGAAATATTTCCTGAGGGACAGAATGTAAGAAGCTGAAGGACTGATCAGATTAACTGGAACAGAAAGTTTTCGCACACATGCATTTTTCTAATATTTACAGTTCCATTTTAGAGAAGAGGAAATTAGGAAACTGAGAGTTTAATTAATATGCCCAAGTTCACACAGCTAGTAAGAGCCTGAACTCAAGCATATGTCTGTTTGGCTTCAGAGCCCAGGATTATGTTAATACACCCTGTCATCTCTCAGGAACTGCGGGACTCCCCAAAACTCTAGTGCACCCCAAAATTACTTTACCTTTGCTGTGCTGCTGACCTCTGTGGGTGGTGCACACTAAGACTGCTCTGCTTTTGTCAAACAGGTGCATTCAATTTAGAAAAGAAAATATGATGACTTATAAACAGACATGAACTTTAGATACACAGATCACCAATGTGTGCAAATAGATCCAGTAGATCAAGTGAGGAGACGATGAGATATAAAAACGATTGTTAGGGCTTCCCTGGTGGTGCAGTGGTTGAGAGTCCGCCTGCTGATGCAGGGGACACAGGTTTGGGCCCCAGTCCGGGAAGATCCCACATGCCGCGGAGCGGCTGGGCCCGTGAGCCATGGCCGCTGAGCCTGCGCGCCCAGAGCCTGTGCTCCGCAACGGGAGAGGCCACAACAGTGAGGGGCCCGCGTACCGCAAAAAAAAAAATAATAATAATAATAATTAAAAAAAAAGAAAGAAGTTGTCTACCATCCTCCTACTTAGAAAATAAGCAGAGAGCCATCAGGTATAATCCGCATCTTAGAGTTGATTACAGAGATGAGGAATCTTGAAACTTGAGGGTGCAAATTACACACAGGATCAGTTAAGGACAGCCAATCGCTGCAACAGTTTTCTCAGCCTCGATTATTTCAGTGTTAATCAACTTCAGTCAGATTTGTCCTTCTAGAAAAAGACTTATTTTCATCACATTATTATTGAAAGACCTCAATGAATTATCCCTACCAACAGGGTAGAGCCCAGCATTGAAGGCTGTCCAGAATCTACCTGCACAAACATACTCCCTACAATAAACTCTCCCTTTTGCTTAAACTAGTGTGAATCTAGAATAAACTCTCCCTTTTGCTTAAACTACAGTGAATCTATATTTGCACTCAAGAGTCCTAATTTTGTTCCATCCTGTAGATGTATTTAGCTTCCTGTCCCTTGGTTCTCCTCACAGCAAAGACCCACACAGAAAATGAAGTCCAGCAGACCACAGCACCCATAAGTTCTTATCCCCAAACCTGCAAATATACTTAGACCTGCACCTGTGCCTTCCCTGCCCCTTCCGATTACAAGGGGACAGTAACTTCCTCCTATGCTTCCACTGGGACATCTCCAAAGTCCGACACCCCGCTTCTGAATCCCACCTCCTCCTTCGTCTTCAGAAACCTGAAATTCTACTGATTTTCCCTCCTTCTCCTATGTGTTCACCCTCTGTCCATGGCTACCACGGCCAACTTCAGCCTGAATCACTCGCAGTGTAGACTTTATGAACCATGTCCCCAGAGATGTGCAGGCCAGGTCTCCATTTCCTCTTATTTTTTGCTGCTTGTTTCTGCCCTCCCCACTCCACTAAAACCACTCTCACCGGGGTTATAGATGACCTTCTTGTTCACAAATCTGAGGGATGTTTTCAGTCCTTTGCTCTCTTAATCTCTACCCAGGTCCTAACACTCAATTAGCCATTTTTTTTCCTTCTGATAACTCCTCCCTTGGTTTCTGTCATAGCATATTATTCTGATTTTCCTCCTGCAGGGCCCTCTGTCTCAGTCTCTCTCTTAGTCACGTGTGTTCATTCATCTGTCCTGAGCCACCCACTCTTCTTGTTTTGTACTGTCTCCTGGACCATCTCATCTTTTCTTTTGGCTTCTCTTATATGTTTTATGAAAACTGCCCATGTTTACCTTGAGGTTGGATCTCTTCCACCTGAACTTGTTTCCTTTCCTTCTCCCACCGGGTAGAGTCAATACATCAACAAGTTCGGATAGTTCCTCCGCTAAAACACCTGAAATCTATCCCCTTCCCACCACTGCTACTGCCACCTTCCTCACCGAAGCTTGTAACATCCCTCACCTCGACTCCCGCAGTCACCTCCAAACTGGTCTCCCTCATTCCACCCTGGCCACCCTACAATCCATTCTACTACAGAACCGGTTTCAAATGTTAACACGTCTATTCCATATCTTAAAACCTTCAATGACTTTTCAGCTTCTTACTATGAAACTGATGGTGTGTAAGGCCTATCGTGCTTGGCTTCTGCCTCTACCCTTATGACTTCATCTCCCACCACGTCCTTGCTGCAATGAACACTTTGGAGCCTTTCTCTCCGAGCTCTCTCCCTGCCACACTCTGGACTCATGTAGTGACCACATTCCTTTCATTTCCTCAACGAGGACTCGACCCATTGCCTCCTGACCTGGGCCCAAGCTGCCTCTCTCCTTCACTCAGCACATTCCTGCACACCCTGTAGTTCTAGCTCAGCTACTGCTTTACTGGGATGCCTCCTCTAACCACCCCCGGGTCCGGTTAGGTTCTCCTTGCATGTGTACTCATGGGCCCCTGTACTTCCTGTTGCAAAGTCCCCACCACGTGAATTTTCACTGCTTGTTAGTGAGGATGGGAAGAGGAAAGACGGGACCTATGTAGACCCCCGGCAGCCAGAACCTGGTACATAACAAGTGTTCAACAGATGCTTCCCATGAACCAATAAAGACTGATATTAAACTCACTCTTTATCCTGAATAACTCACTGCAGATAAGTGTGAATATGTATTTAGCAAAGTATTTCCAGCTCTCATTGTAAAGTGTGGATTTAATCATTTTTAACAAATGTTTGAGTTTTTTTTCTCAAAGTCCTGAGTTAAAAACCTTCTGTGCCATACATTGTCGATAAAGCCTGGGCTGACTAACCTCTACCTGAATTTTAAAAGTCAAAGTCACGCTGACCAGAGTGGGGAACACCAGGTAGGCAACACTCCACTCAGCACCCACCCTTAAAAAGGCTTCTGTTTTTATTTGGCTGTTTACACTGTTTTGTTTGGTTAATTACAAAGAGGCCAATTCTTGTTCAGTATATTGAGAGACCTTTCTATAAATAAGAGTTCTCCAAAGTGGGAAGACTTGGGAGTTGGTGAATTCACTGCTGGGAGCCCCTGCATGGAAAGATCTTTTTCAGAGAGCTGTATTTTTTGAAAGCTGTTATTAGAGAACGGGTGGGCCAGATGAGTTCTAAAATCACAACTCAAAGCACCTATATTCCTATAAAATATTTATGAGATGAGTCATTTTATTCTCTTCCCTCCTTCCCATCCCCACCAGTGGTTGTGTTCCATTAACTTCAAGAACACATCCTTATTATTTTATGATTTATAACTTTATCTGTTCTTTAGAAATTGACTCTAATATATAATCATTTTAAATCACTAGATTATACTAAGTATATGCTGCATTTCTTTAGAAAAATGAGCAGGCGGAATTGTTGGATTTGTAAGATGTGCAGAGATGACTCTAAGAGGCCTCCTTCAAAGTAAGTAGCATGTAAATTCTATTACCGTTATCATGTATATTTATCACATGATAAGTAGGTGTATGTTTATTCAACTGCTGTCTTAATATATTTTGCTCAGAAAGTAAAATTTGCATTTACACGTAATTCCACTAGAAGGGCAACCATGCGTTACACTAAGGTTCCATTTTCATTATTCATGGTTCACACTTGAGAATCCAGCAAGGTTAATGTTTTTAGAGAGTCTTTTACAAACAGATATTCTTGGGTTTTTTTTAAAGTCTTATATTGTTAAAATTTTATATGTTAAAATGAGATTCTTTCATCCAAACTATTTACATGGTTCAAACCCTCTATCTACAAAGCACCAGACCTTCGTCCGTGGTTGGAAGAGGTGAGACTGGAGGGGTAACCAAATGTTCACCAAGCTCCCAGGTCTCTTCTACATTTTGCCATAACTCAAAGTGAAGCCATGCAGGTGGGGCCAGTGGCTATACTAAAATGGAAAGCGGAATGCCTGAGGAGGGTAACAAACCATTTGACTGGATTTGCTCACCCTGAAGAATCCCCAGGCCGAGGATCCCTGTTAGGTTAACCTGAGAGCCTGACCTCATCTGCATGGAGACTCAGTCATGGCCACACATCCCTGCTGCAGTCGGAACTCCTGGTATGCAGGCTCCCACCCTGAGGTATCAAAACATCCAAAAATGCAAACCAGCTACTGTGTGTTTGGAGGATGCAGAGTCTCCAGTGGTGGGTGGGAGAGACAGGAAGACCCAAAGCTCAGCATTTCAATTGACCAGTTGAGGCTGCTGAACTGCACAGGCCTGTGTGAGGAGGAAGACGAGAAGGCTGGTTTGGGAAGAGCTTCCTCTTCTGCTGACGATTCCCATAAAGCATCACCATCAACGCTTGCCTTCCTTCTACCTGCCCTGACACCCACCATCAGGGCCGGCGAAGGCCAAGGAAAGAGAATTCACATTCCTCACAAACCAAGAGATGACAGTCATTTGATAAGTGCTTAATGTTCTTGACCTAACTTAATGTTCAGGGTAACTTTGTGGATAATAAAACTGAAGCTTGGAGATTTTAAGTTAGACCAAAAGCTATCAAGTCCAGCACAGGAATCAGAACCCAGGACTGTCAGACTCCAGACACTCCTCATTCCTCTCTCCGCAATGTTATGATGTCTCAGAATGCTCCCGTATCTGTTTGGTGCCTGCTCTCTCTGTCCAGAAGAAAGGAGGGGACACAAAAGTGGAGTCTGTTATTAGAAACTCCAGTGGATGAGGGGACAAAGGTGTTTAGAATTACCCTAAGGGAAACTGGTAGCCACGGGGCAGCATGAAATTGGTGAAATACTCAAGAAAAATTACAAGCAAAAATGGGATTCAGCCAAAACCAAGTTTTACTTCACAGCTTTACCCCCAACCATAATTACCCCAATCACAATGCATCTCCATAAACTCATGACCCTTAGAGGCGCAGGTACTCCCTTGCCAACAATCACCAACACCAAACTTTGAGCTAACCCAGGACAGTGACGGCATCTCCTCTCACGCTGTAGCTTTTCTTCTCTCCTACATGACAGTTAGGTCTGCAGGACACCTTGCCAAGCACTTTTCATTTCGACGGATTGGAAAAGGTGATTTTAGGTTTCTGTTTTTAAAAGTTCTAATACGAGAAAGGAACAACGAGTCTGACACCATTGCATGGAAATGTTTGTTGAAAACAATCTCAACGGCAGTGCACTGTTAAGCCTCAGTGCTGATGTGAACAGTCCATCTAGAACTAGCAAGTACCACCTGAACTTTCAGAAAACAAAGGATATTTGACCTTTCTAGGACTCCCAATATTTTTCTGTGTCCCAGGTTACTTTTTAACCTCTTTAACTAATCTTCTTTCGCTGTGTTAAGTACCTGCTAATGCAGATGGCTGTCACCTCAACACTGAGTACTGAGCTAACTATACCAGGTGATAGCCAATGGGCAGTGCTTGCTTGTATCTATAGTGGCTTTTGATTAGATGCGGTTATTAAAAATAGGAAAAGTAAGAACGTATCATAAACTGAGTGGCAATGAACGGACTGAGTATTTCAAAGGAGGGAAAGAAAGTGATTCTAAAGAACAGTCGCTTACCAATTCACCTCAAAAAGCCCACCAAAATGAAAGAAATGAAGTCTCGAAGCCAGTATCTTCCACAGATATTTTCAAAATGGTAAATAGCCTTTTTCATATGTTTAGGTCAAATGTAACTTGACATATTATTCACAGTGATAAAAACTAAAACTGTCAAGGTAAAAACATATAGAGCAAATAACTGACCAAGAAAAGATTTATACATAATAAATACAAAGTTATGCATGCCAATAGGTTTTGTGGATAAACTCTAAGAGTCTAATACATAAATGAGCAAACACATTGCTGGTGGCAGCGGCATACAATGTATAACCTTTTTAGAAGCATTGATTCTACTTCTGTTAATCTCTTAAGGAATTACCTTGACTGTGGGCATGGCAAGCCTCAATGACAGCTGGGTTATTTTGGTTTTATTGGTGAAAAATTAGAAATGATCAAAACACTCATTGAGAATAATTATGTAAACTATGGAATGCCCCCTTGTAGAATACTTCATGGTCACTATAAATGATACTGACTCCCAGTGATTATAAATTTACAATTACTCATCTAAAGATAAGAGAATAAATATCTCCCTAATCAAAAAAATAAATAAATTTACAATTATAAATTATAACACTATAAATTGTGAAGACATAAAAGGCTTATTAAAAGGGTATATATGCAAAAAAAAAAAAAAAAAAAAGGGTATATATGCATATGTATATGTATGTGTGTGTGTATATACACGTATATACACACCCCACACACATATAAAGTATGCGCACACATATGCAGAGAATGATTGCTTCTTGGTTAAAAGCACACAAACATGCATACAACCAAAAAACTAAAAAGAAATACATCAAAATATTAACAATGGTAATCTGGGCCGTAGAGATTATAAAACTCTGGTTCTTTGTCTTTTAAAATTTATTTTATCAGATTTTCATGTTTTTTCTACTTTTATATTTTTATAATTCTAATCACTTAGAAAGTAAAAATAAAACGTAAAAGATCACTGGAAAATAAATTTCCACCCAAAACTACACACAAATAGAGTATAACTATATTTGGGCATTATTTTCAAGATAGCATATTTCTATTTAGTTCAGAAAAAGCTTGAGAATATTTTAGTGCAATGAGCACCTTTTGTTTCTTTTCAAAGCCTTACTTTGGAGGAAGCATTACAGTGGGCCCAGTCTTTTGAAAAGTTGATGGCTACGAAATGTGAGTATCATGTACATATCATTTTTTTAAAAACTAGTCAGTTTTATTCTCGGAGGAAGCTGAGGGAACTTGGTGATGTATGTTTGCTGCTCTTCTCATAGCCTTCTAAACGGCAACTGCCACGGTTACAAAAAGAAACCTGAAAATAGTTTGCCGTGTCAACCAGTACTATTTTCTTTGGTGTGAATTAAAGCAAGATTAGTCATTGTGAATACTTATTCTTCACAAGTATATGTGTAAAATCCCTTGGAAAATATGCTTAAATAGTAACACATACTGAAATATACTGCCTTCCTCTAGCTTTCTAAAGTTATAATTTTTAAAAAAAACTAACAATTTCCTCTTCCTAGTGCCTTGGGACGTAAGAATAAATTTGAGTTTTGATATTCTAAAAATCCTCAAAGTTTGCTTCTAACTTTATCAGTGTCTGATTTAAGTGGGACTGCATATAAGTCCATAGTTACTTATATGTAAGTGTCAGAATTCAGATGGTATAAATGGAAGATGATAGCAGTGGAGGTGAGGAAGATAAAGTCACAGGCTCAACACAAGACAAATGAAGGAGCAGTCAACTGTGTCTGGGGTAGGAAACTGGGAGGCTGTAGGAAATGATAAACACCAGAAGACAGGTACAGAGAAAAATTAGGGCGCACTCAAAGAAAATTCCTCTGTTTGCTGAACTTGGTACTTTTTTCAAAATGCAGTTTGTTCCCCTCAAATGTCTGCTACTGATTTGCTCTATATCTTTTTTTATTTGAGATTCCCTGTTAGCTCCTCTGTGAACGTTTAATCTGTTTACATCTATTGACTGTGGGAGGGGAGTTAGCTGTGATACCCAAGGTTTAAATTGGCAGGGGTGCCAGCAGTTATTCTGGGCAGGGTGCTTCCTGTCCCCCAAGGCTTGCCATGTTCCTGGGGTGCTGCCTGCTCTTCTCGACTCAAGGGCCCCCACCCCCCAACTCCTGTTCGGAGACAGCTGTCGCCACCTGGCCTCGAGGGCCATGGCACAGGTGCGGACCCCTGGCTACTCCTACTGAAACACCTTAGCCAGCCGGCCTGGCTCTTATTCCACGGCGCCCACAGTGCTGGGACCCACAGCTCCAGGCTCTGTCACCACCTGAGGGCCCACCTCAGGTAGCAGCCCTCCCCAGTGGGCACAGAGGGCCACGCTTTCTTTCTCTGACGCCACCATCCCCGCCTCTCACTTTTCAGGTGTACCTCCTAGTTTGTGATCCGGTTTGCCAGCATGATTGCAAATTTTAAGATAGGTACCCTTTTGGTCAATTTTAGGACATTGGTATAGGAGGAAGAGACTAAAGTGTATGTTCAGTTGGCTATCCTGACTGATCCTCTGTTAATAATTCAGAGTTCGTCCCAAGCCCCAGTAATCCATATTGTGCAGCATTGCCAGATTAATCTCCCTCTTGGAGTTTATTATTCTTCATCTGCAAAACGGCATAATATCATGTATCCTTTCAGCATTCCTGTGCAGGTTAAATATACACCCCCTCGCTCAATGCCTGATACAGAGGAGACACACAATGACTGAGAGTTATTTCTCTTAGAAATAAAGCGCTTGTCTTGAATAGCATTCCTTTTTCTCTACTGCCCACCCAAAAGTCCAAAATCTCCAACTTGGTTTTCAGGACTCTATACCCAACCTAACGCACTTTCTAACACTTACCTCCAGCTCTGTCCCTACACGTGACATGCCCTTCTGCCCTTGTGATGTCTGCCCCATCTTCTACATGTCCAACTCTCCTGGTTCAGGCTTTTGCCTATCTGTCTCCTCTATCTACCCTGCCCATCCTTAAAGATAAAATTCAAGTTCCACTTTCTCCTCTTGGAAACCTCCTGGAAATATTTTTCTCTCTCTTTTCTATTTGATAGTATCATTATTTACTTTGCTTCTAATTATAGCAATTTCGTGTACTGGGTTTTTTCCCGCAGCTGCTTTCTCACTAGATTGTAAATTCCCTTAGCGCACAGATCACTTCTCATCCACCTTTCATCTTACCTCCCAGAGGCCGAAATTGTGCTTTGTACCTAATGGGCGTGCAATAAATGTTCAATGAATAAATACAAGACAAATATTAGTAAGAAAAGATCAAAACGCCAAACCATATTGTGTAAGAGTTCTGTGCCAATCCTGGCAGCCTCATAAAATAAGTGAATAAAGTTAATTACTCAGAAAAAATGTTCAAGTGGGATCTTGGCTAGAATTAGCAATTCAGAGATCTAGCATCACAAGAATAAGTAAAGTCTAAAGAAAAGATGAGGACGGGAAGACAGCATACTGCTCTTTACAAAAATCGCCAAAAACAGGGTACTAACCTTACCAGAAATTGAATTACTGTGAAATTCACGTAAAAATTCAACAATCGTGTAATAAAAAGGTGATAAAACAAATCATTCTACGGGACACGCAATCAGAAAGATAAAACTAAGAATACAAATATTAAATGTGCCAGAGAATAGACTGCGTTTACGTTAACTAAGCACAGGAGTAAAACGCATCCTCTAGCTAAGACACACAGATGCCTCCACACAGATTAAAAAGCAATTTCTAAGAATATGTAGTTCAGAAACCCACATGGCAAAGATTCTCACAAGAGGCAAATTTTGAGCTGGGACTTAAATGACTCAGATTGTTGTAAAATGATAAAGAGTTCTGACTGTAAGTACTTCAAAGATAGGAAACGGTTTTAAAAGAAGTAAGTACAGTGAAGACAAATGAGTGCTTCTTTCAATGAAGAAATGTAATGTGTAGTATTCCTCGGGATTTGGTGTGAAGACTGGTCTCATTAAAAAAATCTCCACAATGAATTAAAGAGATAGGACCCTGCAGAAGTTCCAAGTTTACAGATGATAGAAAGTCCTTCAAGTTTCCAAACATCCAAGATTTTAGGAAAAATTTATTTTCAAATGGGCATAAAAGTAGTAATAACTTTTTTTTTTTAATTTTATTTTTGGCTGCATCGGGTCTTCGTTGCTGCCAGCGGGGGCTACTCTTCGTTGCAGTGCACGGGCTTCTCATTGCGGCGGCTTCTCTTGTTGCGGCTCATGGGCTTTAGTCACGTGGGCTTCAGGAGTTGTGGCGTGTGGGCTCAGTAGTTGTGGCTCGCGGGCTCTAGAGTGCAGGCTCAGTAGTTGTGGCGCACAGGCTTCCCGGACCAGGGCTCGAACCCATGTCCCCTGCATTGGCAGGCGGATTCTTAACCACTGCGATACCAGGGAACACCAATGATCCCCTAAAAGCTGAGGACTCTACAAACTGGAAAGGTCAAGACTAAAAAATAATTAAAATCAAAACTTTGATTAATCAAAGTTTTATATTTGATTTTGATTAAAATATCCGAAAAGAATGCCAGAAAAGAAGGCAGAAGGCTCATACACAAATAATATTTTTTGGCCAAATCTCAAAATATGAGGATAGAGGTTTCCCACTAATATTCGAGTAAAGTATGCTTAATATAAATAAAAATAAGTTTAAAAGGGCAACTAATGCCCTTGGATGAGTCATTCAACCTTCCATGTGTCTGGCTGACCTTCCTGGCACTGGACAGTACAGTGAAAGAGGCCTAGAGGGTCACTGTGCTCAGCTCATGTGCACCCTCTAGAGGAAGGAGAGAGACAAACAGGAAAGCCAACTAATAGCTTAATTAATTCCAGAACGTAGTAAGGACTTTGAAGAAACTAAAACCAGGTCGCATGACAAAGAAAGACAGGAGTAAGAGGGAAATTCAACGGGATGATTAGAGACAAACTGTCCAAAGGTGTAAAACTTGAGCTAAGAACTGAATGACAAGAAGCGGCCAGCCATACTGGGGTCTGGGGGCAGAGCGGCCCAAGCAGAGGAAAACCATGTTCAGAAGACCCTGAGATATGAATGAAGCTAGTGTCTTCAATTAACCAAAGAAATTCAGCCTAACAGGAGCACAGGGCCTTACAGGCCACATGAAAGACCTTAAATGCAAAGTAACAAGCATTAATGTGCTTTGAGAAATACCCTCTGAGGGTGGGGGAGGGCAAGGGAGGGGAGGAGATTAAGAGATACAAACTACTGGGTATAAAACACAGAAGACCCAAGGATGCAATGTACAGTATAGGGAATACTGCCAATGTTTTATGATAACTTTATATGGAGTATGATCTATAAAAATATCAAATCACTATGTTGTATCCCTGACACTAACATAATATTGTAAGTCAATAAAAGTACGCGCTAGTTCTCTTCTGAAGAAAAGAAGCAGAGAGACTAGTTAGAAGGCTATTTCAATAAACCAGGTAAGACTGCAACTCCGTAGGGAAGACAAAACCTGGAGTAATTAGCATATAGATGCTAATCGAAGCCATGGCCCTATGAGTTCACTTAGAGGGAGAGTTCAGAGAGAGGTGAGCACAGACCCAGACGTGGAGCTTAGATGCACACCAATATTTCCATATCCAGAGAAGAGGAGGAGTCTGTGAAGATGTTAAAGGAGCATCAAGTGAGTGAAGAATGACCAGGACAGCATATCATCATGGGAGGCAAAGAAGAGAGCGTTTCAGGAAGGGACGGGTGCACTGTGTCTACGGCTGCTGGGAAGTCAGGTAAGATGTGGAAGGAACAGCGACCATCGAGTGTGGCAACGTGAAGTCAATTGTGCTGAGATAAGAGCAGCCTGGGGGCCATGGTGGAGATGGACTGGACAAGAGGAAGCAAGGCAGATGATACAGGGAATTATTTACATAAATATTGCTGTGAAGTTCATCAGAGAAAAGCACAGAGACTGGAAGGAAGCGTGAATGCGGTCCACATTGGGCGTAAAGAGTCAGTAGTTGTTATTGGTTTTACTTGGGAAATACAGCAGCATATTTGCAGACGATGGCAACCATTAGAGAGGAAGAAACGGATGACACAGAATAGAGTGGAGGCGACTTTAAGAGCAAAGGAGAAGTGCAAGGCAACAGGGAAAGCAAATCAGGTGGGAGCCACAAATGAACTGTTTGGCCCACCC